GAATACCAGTGTATGTATTAAGGTATCTAATCATGGCATTCATGTCATGAAATGCCATGAATACCTGTTGAACTGAATGAAGTTAAGTTGCTTTGCTTCCTCAGTTTAACTTTTGCTTAAAATATCACTACTTTTCTATGTGGAGTTTTCTGACACCAAATGTGTGCCTTTTTTTCACATAGCCAATTTTTTGACACCAACTTGGTGTTCAATTTTGTTCTGACATTAGCTCCCAGAGTTAACACAGACTCCACAGGTTAAGGGCTCCATTCCACAAGACTGCCACAAGACTCCTATATCAGGTGCTAGCCACAAGTGGGGTCCCAAGGTGATCCACACTTCTGTCTGGCTGACTGCAGATTCACAGGTTCCCACAACCCCCTCCTTCGGAGCTTTAATTAAATTTACTGGTTTATTATAAAGGATACAACTCATATATAGCCAAGCGAAAGAGTTACATAGGGAAAGGTACTAGGGGTAGAAGAGGAATAGCCCAAATCTTCCCTGTGCTCTCTGGGCATGCTACCTTCCCAGCATACCAATGCGTTCACCAACCTGCAAGCTCCCTAAATCTTATTGTTTATGAGGGTTTATTTTTATAGTGCTCAGTTTAGGAACATACTTTATATGAGAAAAGAATGGCCCTTTAGCTTACTGACAAGAGGATTATTTACTGGTAATTTTGTAAAGGGGTATTGATTATTCTTCAATTAAGTATGGTGCTGGGTGGTCATTAGGTTCATTTCCCACTCTTAACATTCAAAGATTCTTAGATAAGCACTAAAAAATATTCATGGACCAGTGCCTGAGCAAAACATGTCTAAACCTCTAAATTGGACTGTTAANTGTGGTTGGAGTACATCAAACTATAACCTACGTCTTTCTAAAACTACATCAGAAACAGAGGTGTATTCTTAAAGGATAAAATATGGGCATGAATACCCTTGAGGATAGAAATGACATCAAATGAAATAATGTATGGGAGAGCAGCTCATAAACAGTGCTTTGAGTTATACTTACTCATTAAGAGATGGGCTATAGCATAAAAGCATAGGAAAATTAGTACTTGTATCTTTCATCCCTTCCCTGGCTTAGAAGTTGCAACTTATTGCAAATTCAGGAAAATCAAGTAACTCCAAAAAGATGTTAAAATTTAAGGATGTCTTTGTTGTAGCTATTTATGCTAGGCTACAGGAAAATTATAGCCTTTGTGTCTCTATTTATATTTGTTATATTGCCAAGTTGTAATTCACAAGGGAATACCAGTTAAGCTCTTGGAAATTCTCTTTTCTTGGCAGTAAGTTTATATACTGTGTTACTCAGTGCATTAGAGTTACAATGGACAGTCTCCAGAGGCACCCTTTTCACTTCTGTTTACTTAATTGGCATAGATTAAACTAGTGTACATGTTGAAGGGAAAAAATGAACTAGTAGTAGCCTGTTCGATTGTTTCAAATTTTCCATATTAGAGTGATCTTAAAAGACAAAATGGTTTTTGATATATTTGTTTTATAAAACATCTAGCACAATCTTTGAAGTCTTTGTAACTTTATTAAAGGTTTATTGTTATTCTTATTTATTTATTTACCTTTTTAAAAGTATACAAATTACATTTGTTCATTATAGAAAAAGTGCTACATAAGTATAAAGAAGAAAATTGAAGTCTTTCATAAGATGGAGAACTAATTAGAACAATTTTAGGTTTTTTATTTATTCTATTCTGCTTGTTCTTTTTATAGGCAAACGAAGGTTTAATATTAAATTGTGGAAGACCTTCACTGATTGTTTTAACTGTCTGCCTATAGCTGCCATTGTGGATGAGAAGATCTTCTGTTGNTTTTTGGATTCTTGAAAAAGAAAAAAAAAGTCTTAAAACTGACTCATTCTAAAAAAAAAAATATATATATATTCCCTTAGCCACCATGGTTCTTAGAAAACTACTTCGTGTCTCAACATCCACCCTGCTCTTAATCTCACTGCAGTTTGACTTTGAGTCTCTCTCAAGATTTCCACTGAAGATACCGAGGTAGATATTTTTAGTCCTGACCTCTTTTTCTAGACCCAAAACATTACTAAAGTCAGGGATCTATCTGATTTGTTTCTCCATATTACCAGTCCTCATTGGAAATGTTTTCTTTCTCCAAATTGATCTATAGATCAAATTCTAATGAAATCACAATTGAAGGTTTTATGGAATTAAATTCAATATCAATTACTTCCGGCTGATTCTGAAGTTTATGTGGAAGAACAAAGGATCAAAATAACAAGACAATTCTGAAGAAAAAAATTAAGCGGGATTCCAGCCCAAGTAAATATAAAGTCATTAAAAATCTCTAGTATGTTATTGGCTCAGGGATAAGTAAAATAGACTAAATTTCAGAAGACTATGTTGCTTAGAAAGAGACTCTGTCACTCTGGAAGGAAAGGATGAAGTATTCAGGAAATGCTGCTGGTTCAATTGTTTCTCCAGATAGAGAAACTATACAGAAAACATTAACAGCCTTTTTCATTTATTGTCGTGTTCAGAGTGTGCTGTACACTTATTTCATATATTTGGAAAGTCCTCCCTTAAGAGAGTACTGGCAGGATTTGTATGGTTGCTTTAAAAAAGAGTGGGTAAGTTAGATAAACTGGGATACCTTGGGGGCAAGGGATTGTTTAGTAAAGGGTAGGAGGGCAGGAGAAGCATTGAAACGTGATAAAAGTATGCTTTATTATATAAATTTTGGCACTTTTTCATTGCTGTATTACTGTTCTTTAAAGGTTTCCTCTGTGATTTGCTGTGGTCTGACCCAGATCAAGATGTGCAAGGCTGGGAAGAAAATGATTGTGGTGTTTCCTTCACTTTTGGAGGTGAAGTAGTCAGTAAATGTCTGAATCGTCATGATTTAGAAATGATTTGTCGAGCTAATCAGATATGAAATATAAGACTCTTGCAAATTTTAACATTTGTTAACTTCACACAGGCCATCTTTTTTTATTTTTGAGGGAAGTGAGGTCCAAGAAAGTTAAATGACAAGCACAAGAATAGCAGTAGGATAGGCAAAGCCAATATCTATGTCTCCAAGTTAACAACATAATGAATGGTTTGTTAAAATTTTCTCACCCTATAAGAGGAAATGTTTTAAAAGAACAAGTTTTTAGTACAATGAAACCCTAACAATTTTCAGTGCTTTTCCCAGCTTTGTAGACATGGTCTAGATTTTTATATGGTTCTTATATATTATTGATAACAATCAAATGAATTGTGTGGGTCTTGTTTGGATTTTGATAAGAAAAACCCGCACTGTAAAAAGACGTTTTTGAAACAGTTGGGGAATGTAATTATAAATTAGGTAGTAGATATCCGAGTGTCATTGTTAATTATTTTAGCTGTGATAAAAATCATTATTATTATGTAAAATAATGTCCATGTTTTTCTAGAAATGGATAAATGAAACAAATGTAGCAAAATCCTGATAATTATGGAATCAGGATGAGTGTTGAGTTAATGGAGTTTATTGAAGTCTTTATCTACTTTTGCCTATATTTGCAATTTTTTTTCATTATAAAAACCCATCTACAATTTAGAGTTTGAGGTTTTTTCACCTGTAGATCGTACACGCTTTAAGGAGCGGACTATAACTTGTTTATTTTTGAATCTCTGTTGCCTTGTACAGTTACTGGCAATTGTAGCATGCACTTAGTGTTTATTGAAGAAATGAATTAATAAGCAATAATTTATTTAAATAGTTCTTTAATATATCAAGTGCTTTGCTCTAAAACATAATATAAAAATTGAAAGGCATTTAAAAAATGTTAGGCTACCTTTGAGACTAATAAAAGAATTTGAATTTTTAAAATATATTTAAGATTCCTTGTTACTTTGTTAAAGCCAAATTTATTAAACTAAGTATATGCTGTTCCACAGTACTTTTTCTCCTTGACTTTATTCTCCACAACACTTGACTATTTTTACTTCTTTGTGTGACCCTAGGTGAAAAACAAAAATGACTAGCTTCTTATTCTCTGCATTTTTTATATCACATGCCTATTTTCTAGCAGAATTTTCTGGTTGTTCAATTGAAACAGTTATGTTCCCAAATACTAAGCATTTGACAAAGTTGTCTTTTTATCAGCAAACATCGTGTTTATGGTTTTGAAGATTAAGCCTTCTATTAGATAACAGGGCAGAGCTGCTAAGTTTCCTAACTATGAAATACCCACTTGTAATCGTTTATTTTTTTGACTTATTTTTTTTCAGCCATAGATCTCCATTCACTGTTTTTTTCTAAAAAAAGATGATAATTTAAGTCAGGTTATTGAACTACTTTAGTTTGCCTGGTCTTTTCTTTTCAAGAAATCTTCAAAATCCTATACTGCTTATTTTCAAAAATGTTATCTCTAAAATTAAGAGACCTACAATAGGAAATAACACAAACTAAAAGTATTTCCTTTAAAAAATGTGTGAAAGAATGAACGAATGAAATAAGAACTAAGAAACATGTACTGAGTGGCAAGCACTAAGCTGAACTGGGGATAGATAAGGTGGCCACAGTCTTAACAGAAGATGCTAATATCTAAATTGTACTATGAAGTAATGTGCTCTCACTATGGAGGTAGGAGTTATTTTAAAAAGCAGGTGATTTTAGAGGTGCTTTCCTGTATTAGCAAGTAGTGTAGGATAATTTTGCTTATCAAAGGATACCTAAAAGAGACTTCAGAATGTATGTTGCCTACTGTAAATAAATATGAAATATTTACATATTATTGCCTATCTCTAAAATTTGTGGAGCCAAGAGAAACCTAAATTGTCTAAGTCACTCAGGAATTGACAACAGAGTCTAGAAATCATGTTAAAGAAAATGATAACACGTATAAAAGTTAATCTATTGGCAGGTAATTTAAGGAGCATAATCTGTGTGAATTAAATTCAACTTAATAATGTTTTCAATATGTAGCTATATAATACTAATACAAAATTTAAAAGCAAAGTAAGAATAGTTGGATTATACTGTCACCATCAGTGAAGTACTGGGGGGTCCCAGCTGCCGGCAGTCGCTATACCTATTAGCATATTTTGTTTTTGTCTCATGGGGAGCCTTAGAGATGGTATGATTTTTAAGCCTTTTGGTAATAATGTATGATTCCATTTAAGTTAAACGCCTGCCACTATAGAAAAGGAACACCGATTTTAATGCTCTAAGCAGTTTAAGAATTAAAACCACAACTTCCAAAACAAAACAGGTTTTTTAAATGTCTTTTCCACATTAATCTCAATTAGTATAGATGGTTGAGAATTGCCTATTAATAAANGAAATCTTCAAAATCCTATACTGCTTATTTTCAAAAATGTTATCTCTAAAATTAAGAGACCCACAATAGGAAATAACACAAACTAAAAGTATTTCCTTTAAAAAATGTGTGAAAGAATGAACAAATGAAATAGGAACTAAGAAACATGTACTGAGTGGCAAGCACTAAGCTGAACTGGGGATAGATAAGGTCGCCACAGTCTTAACAGAAGATGCTAATATCTAAATTGTACTATGAAGTAATTTCAACAGAATGTGTTCTCAGTATGGAGGTAGGAGTTATTTTAAAAAGCAGGTGATTTTAGAGGTGCTTTCCTGTATTAGCAAGTAGTGTAGGATAATTTTGATTATCAAAGGAAACCTAAAAGAGGCTTCAGAATGTATGTTGCCTACTGTAAATAAATATGAAATGTTTACATATTATTGCCTATCTCTAAAATTTGTGGAGCCAAGAGAAACCTAAATTGTCTAAGTCACTCAGGAATTGACAACAGAGTCTAGAAATCATGTTAAAGAAAATGATAACACATATAAAAGTTAATCTATTGGCAGGTAATTTAAGGAGCAGAATCTGTGTGAATTAAATTCAACTTAATAACGTTTTCAATATGTAGCTATATAATACTAATACAAAATTTAAAAGCAAAGTAAGAATAGTTGGATTATACTGTCATCATCATAGAAGTACTGGGGGGTCCCAGCTGCCGGCAGTCGCTATACCTATTAGCATATTTTGTTTTTGTCTCATGGGGAGCCTTAGAGATCGTATGATTTCTAAGCCTTTTGGTAATAATGTATGATTCCATTTAAGTTAAACGCCTGCCACTATAGAAAAGGCACACCGATTTTAATGCTCTAAGCAGTTTAAGAGTAAAAACCACAACTTCCAAAACAAAACAGGTTTTTTAAATGTCTTTTCCACATTAATCTCAATTAGTATAGATGGTTGAGAATGGCCTATTAATAAATATTTTCTCTTTTAACATTTCCTTTGACAGGTGGTGGAAGATGGATATTAATTTTTTGCTAAAAGACAATTGGTAACCCTATTTTCAGCCCCAACTTACTGTGGGGAGTTTGA